GTTCCAACCTAAATGAGAATCCCCTCTTTAGTATCCCTTAACAAGTGGTCAAATTGCTTCAGTTTGAAGACCTTGAATTGTGGGAATTGGGTGACACACACTGACTCCATCTTGTGACTGAATTCTGGAACTGGCTCAGTTCCCTTTCTATTCAGTTGTGGGTCTAGTCCAATTTCTGTCTTGTAAGAAAATTATCATGCGAATTGTGAGAAAACTTTATTGCATTGTTTGAACTTCCCAGCTTCCTGGCTGGGAAGCTGGACCACTTCTACCTGTTGCTTAGAAACCCTTCACTAAGGATTTAGGTTATGCTGACCAGAAACCCCATCAGAGAAAAAGATTGATGCAAGGAGTTTTCTCAAAATTATGTATCTGAAACAACTCATATGTTTTATCTGAAAACTGGCCCTGTGGTAGTTAATCAGTTACTGTTTCCACATTCCTTTGATTGAATACAGACACCTGGGGGGAGTGGTACACCTTTTCTGATTTGAGGGAATTGTATCTGTTCACTCTCCCACTCCCAACTTGGAAAGCCTCTAATCCTCCAGTTAGAAATCAGATTACCTAATCTTGTGTCCTGGTTTATATCCTGTTAATTGTTTTCTTTTAATGCATAAAAATCTATCTCCCCCTCTATTCAGGGTCCAGTTCCAAACTGAGGAGACCTGGTTCTGATTTGTTATGCAATTGACATGCATTAGTATAATTGGTATAAATCAATATGCTCAGAAGCTTGACCGTTTGTTTCCTCAGTTATTTCATCTTTCACCCATAACAGTTTTTGGCAAAGCCAGCCAGATCGAGAAAGGACTCTGACCTCCGGGATAGCATCTTAGCTTTTTGGAAGATTGCCCCGGAGGTGGGACTCCCCTCTTGATTTCAGATTCTTCCCAGCTAAAGTAAGATTTATCCCCAACCTGCTGGAAAAAAGATAGTCCCTTTAAGGGAATGATGAGCTGCAGTAATAATAAAATACCGAAGAGACACTCTCTTTTTAAGGGGACATGGATTTTGGTAATAATAAAATACCAAGGAATTCCTCCTTGGATAAAATTTCTTTTACCAGGGCAAGATGGCTCTGTTAAATTGAAACTCCCTTAGGAAAATTCTTATTGGCCTGGAAACAGGTATAGCTTTCCATACAGGAGTGGAGGGGGTCAGTAAAAGATAGAGCTCTCAAATTATGGTCAAATATCTGAAAATCCAAATGGGTCTCAAAATTGGCCTGAAGAAGGGACTTCTAGTTATGGCAAATTAAAGGCTTTGAGATTAGACTTTCAGTAGGAGGTAAGGAGGCTAACAAGTATGTGATTGTTTTATCGTTTTGTCTGTGTTTTTGTTTCTTTGTAAAATGCAGAAAAATCTGTCTTGTGTCATGTTTAGTGTTGTTTGTAAATTCTGCTACCTTGAAAGATTTTTAAGGGGAAAATGCAGCTCGCCAGAAGGACTGCCAAAAAGCTGCAGCCAAAGAGGAAGGAAGATGAATGACGTTTCATACTTGAAGCATTTCTCCTAGTTTTCTGTAATCTGATGCTAAACTCACCGTCCCAGTCAACAAGAGTGACTCCCACTTCAGAGTTTCAGTGGGAAATTAGGTTCAAGAAAAACCAGAACCACCTGCAAGATACTTTCTCTCTGTCATTTCAACCCTGGCTACATTGGGATTACAGAAATAAAGTTAGAGAATCAAAGAAAGGAAAACTTTTTCCTAGTTTTTAAGAATTTGTGGCATTATAAATGAATTAGAGATTCCAAATTATGGTAACTGCTAAAGACATCTTACTAGTTTTTGGAGGTTTGGAGATTAATCATGAAGGAGTTTGGAGATATAATCATTTTAAGATTGCAGAGAACTCCTGAGACTTTGGTCACTCCAGGAACTCACCCTCTTCTCTTCGTTCTATCTGCTAAGACACTTAGCATATGCTGAAATATCTTAGTGAGTTTTGAGGTAACACTCTGTAGAATTTCTTTTAAGGAAAAATAAGAATGCAATTCTGTTTCAGGGGTAAAAAGCACTTAAATCACCTTTTCTCTGAAGTTTGATAGAGCTGTTGTTTTAGTGTAATGAAGAAAAGCAGCTAGTTTGAAAGAAATCCCAAAGGGAAGAAAAAACATTAGGTATGCAATTGACATTTAAAATTTGTCTGGAACTTGTTAGCTGCCTCTCATTAACCCCTTTCTTGACCATGAAAAGAGAAAAACTTGTTTAAATCAAGGAGTAACTTAAAAATGAGTAAAATTTAATTAGGAATGAAAAGGGTGATTTAAACCAAAGAGGGGTCTGTGAGGAGGAACTGCCCCCCCCATCAAAGAAAATTAAAAAGGAACTATACATTGGTAAACTCGTAGGAAATCCGAAAAGGTAACAGTATTGCAATTAATTGGGGTTCTGTAAAAATTTGTGCTAAATTTCAAAGGAGAAATTCTACGGAATAAAGATTAGTTATTTAGATAATTTGGGCTATGATCAGGAAATATCAACACTCTGCCCCTGAAAGACCATTCTGGGCAGGACATATCCCCCAGTCTTTAGAATCTTCTGAGCTCCAAAGCAAGGGGGTTGGAATGTGAAGCTGCTTCCTGAAATCTCTTGCTATGGAAAGGGTAAAGTGCTACCTTGAACTTTTGAAAAGGAGCTAATTGTTAATTCTGGGTTCTAAATTTTAAAGCCAGGTGCCTAATGGCCCTGGAAAATTGATATTTTGATTTTGTGGTTGTAAATCCATATTTGATTTGATTGATATTTGTCCTGTAACTAAATTATGATGTAGTGAAATGTGTTTTATTAATTGTGGCTTCAAACGCAAAGAAAAACAAATGCTGGAAAATGCATGGATCAGGGAAACCTGAGTTACACTCCAGTCTCAGAAATTTATTAGCTGTGTGATCTTAAGCAAATTATCTCTGTTTACCTCAGTTTCTGGATTGGTAAAGAGGAAAATAATAAGGGTACCCACCTCCAGGGTAATTGTGAGGATCAAATGATATAATGATTGTGAAGTGCTTGGCACAGTGACTGGCATGGTAAGCACTATATAAATGTTGACTATTCTTATTGCTTCTTTGACTGTATATGGTGATAATTCTATACCAGGTTTTAGATGTGATTAGTATAAAATGCCAAAAGATGATAAAATGAATGATTTTTTTGTGTGGGAAAATTCAGAAATGCATTTGGCTGAATTGACATCATCTGACTGGTAATAAGTTTTATTTCATGTTTTAAATACATGGTATTGTGTATGTTATTATTGTGTTTCAAAAAATTTTTCTTATATTGTGAAATGCTGTGAGAAACCATTGTATCAGAAATGCTGTTAGATAAATAACTTCTCTTTTAATCTGGATGCTGTTAAAAGAATGTGATAAAAAAATAGACATTTGAAAACTGTTAAATATTTAATGGTGTATATTTTGTCTTAAAATGAATAAATGATAATAATTTTAATAATGATGATAACAAGAATGATTTACTGTTTGGAGAAAAGTTGTACAGACCCTTTAAGATATACTTATCTGTGAGGCCCCTTGAGACTTTGTATTCAGACTGAATCATAAGATCTTATCAGCCCCGCTGACCACATGTTGAAAAATCTAAAGTACTGAAGTTTGAAAACCTAGAACCAAGAAAATAGAATCCCCTCTCCTACTCGTACTCCTTAAATTAAGGGGGGAGGGGAAGAGAATTCACAAATTCACTATAATAAAGAGTTTTCATTTGAAAATTTTTGGCTATTCCTTATACAAATTACAAAACTATATAGGGTGGTTTAAAGATGTAACTTCAATACATTAATATGAGTTAACTATCAGATATTTGCTGTATGTCTGAAATCCCAGAATGTAGTTTGTTTTAATTTATAAATAAAGGGTAAATGAAATGTAATTGTTAGGGAAACATAAGAAAATTAATAATATTCAAGCCCTAAACTGTGATTAGTGAAATTTTGCTATTTGAGGTAAAAAATCTTGGAACTAAAATTTGATAGTTTTGAGTTTTGATTACAGGGATGGTTGTCTGAATTGTCACTGTCTTTCCTCAAATTAGACATCAGATTACCTAATCTTGTATCCTGGTTTAAATCCTGTTAATTGTTTTCTTTTAATGCATAAAAGCATCTCCCCCTGTATTCGTGGTACAGTGCCAAGCTGAGGAGGCCTGGTCCCAATTGTTATGGAATTGGCATGCATGAATTAATAAAATCAATATGCTCGGAAGCTTGAGCCTTTGTTTCATCTTTTACCCCTCATACAATGACAGGAAACCCACTGCCTCCCAAGACAACCCATTCTCCTTGGGACTGCTCCCAGTGTAAGTGCATGTTAAGAGAGAATTTGCCTCTACAACTTTCATCCATTGTTCCTAATTATGTTTGCTTGGGCCAAATTTAATACTTCCTCCTAACTATGCTTCTAACACTAGAAGACGGTTCTTCTGCCCCACACCCCCAGCTTTATCTGATTGTTGTCATTCCTGGAGCTGGGCACTGAGTGAGGGAGGACCCCAGGGACCATGAGAGATGCCCAAGGCCCTCCTCTGCCTCTGTCCCCAACCTTCTTCTCCTCCCAGATGGAGGGGAGCCCTACCTCTCCTGGGCTGGGGGACCTCCAGACCCCCAGGCCCTAGAAGCTGCACTCCATCTAGGAGGACAAGGTTGGGGGAAGAGGAGGGAGATAAGAAGGTGGAAGAAAGATGGAGGGAGGTGTCAGAAGCGCTTTAAGGAGACGCAGTGAACCATAGAAAGGAAGGTCCCCCATCTCCCATCTGCCCCCAACCCCCTAGGAAACCGGTCTCTGTCTCTGTCACATTCCCTAGTCTTTCTCTCCAGAATGGTCTCCTCATAACCCTAGCCATCCCCTCCCGTGCTCCTCCCCCTTCTCCTCCTTGCTCCTTTCCCTCCTCCCATGTGGCTTCTGGTCCTTGGCTGAGGTCACTGGGTTCTAGTTCCGGGGCCTCCTCCTCCTCCTCTTTATTTCTCTTCCGGCTGACGAGGAGGTGGGGTGAGGCCATGCCCTGGGCCTGAAGCCCACCCAGGCCGTCTTCTCCCACCTAGCATCATCCCACTTCACAGGGCCTCCCCCCCACCCATAGAAGGCCATCCCCGCCCCCTCCCCCATCGTCACCGCCCTCTATTTTTCCGTGACCGACGGAGGTAAGCTCCTCCTCTTGGTATGACGTCACACGTCCCCTTCCCTTTGAGTGCTTTCTGTCTAGGGAGGGGCTGGTTCCACGAAGGTGGGGTGGTGGCGCAGGCAGCTGAAGGTCCCCGACCCCATCCCCAGTTTCACGTTTGTGAGGGAAACCAAGATCTAGTTAGTTCTCCCCCACCCCAGCCCCTAGGGCTCCCCCTTCCTCCTCCCCCTTCCCCAGACCATCCCCCCCAAGTCTGGTGGTGCTCAGCAGGGTGGGGAGAGTACCGCCCCACTCAAGGACGTGGGACTGCACCCAAAAATGTGGCATCTCATGCTCCTTCCTCCCTTCCAATATGGCCAGCCCCGCCCTTCAGACTTAGGAGTCCCTGCTGAGGAAGAATTCAGCGTCCATGAAGGTGTCAGCTGGCCTCTATTGCTGTTTGCCATGGTGACTGTTCTGTTTCCGAGGAAACCCTGAATCCTGCCGGCCCTCAAGCTAGCTCCTTATCAGAACTGCATCATGTGACCTCTCAGCCAGGAAGAAACATGGGCTTCTTCCCCCACTTTGAAAAGCCAGGAGGGCATAGTCCTAACTCCCTTAGGGGCTACAAAACAACAGGAGATATGCACACATATCCACGTATACATATCCATGCACAGAGAGAGACAAGAGTCATAC